TGGTGAGAATAGAACCCTCTGATTGGCTGATGCTTCCACCCATAACCCTTCATTCAACCACTTTAAGACATTTCCTCCACAAAGGCAGCCATTTCCTCCAAGTGTTTTAATCCAAAAATATGGACTAAAAATACTTAATTGAACTAGATAGATAGATAGATAGATAGATAGATAGATAGATAGATAGATAGATAGATAGATAGATAGATAGATAGATAGATAGATAGATCTGTAAAAGACTGAAAGGGAGCCTAGCTAAATCGCTGTGTTACACATTTACATGTTAAGCTAGCTAAGCTAAGCTAACGCTTAGCTTGATAAATGTACATTTAGACATTAGGCTGCCGTAAAGATAGAAACAGAACAAAATATTTACTTATTATATACTTAATTCTCGTATTTTTTAGAACTTTTTAAAAATGCGGCCTTAATTCTTTGTCGATTTCTTAAGACAATAAATAGGTGATTTCTTTTTTTTTTGTCAATACAATGTGAACAATCTGTTTAAATACAGTCTATTTAATGGGTTTTGCACGTTTTATTTCAAATACATAACAGATAAAATTCTGAAAAACACTGAAATTAGCATGAATTTCTTTGACTTTTTCCTGGTTGTTATAATTCTCATCATATTTTAGAACTTTTTTAAAAATGTGGCCCTAATACTTGTTTGATTTCTGTCTTATAACATAAAAAATAAGTCCATAATCCAGTTATAGGTTATAACCTGTATAATGATAATAACCTGACTCTCTCTGGGCTGCAGTTCGTCTCTGTGGCAGACGGTGAGCTCTCAGGACCGGGAAACCTGCCTGTCGGTGGCCGACGACGGAGAGTTCTGGTGAGCTAACGGGAACCCGAATTAGGGTCGTCACGACTCTAAAAGTTTACTCAGGAAGTTGTTATCGATACCGATACTCAGGAAAATATTTTGATACCATCGTCGATATGTCGAAATATTTGATACCACAAGGATAAAAACAAAGACCCCAAAAAATAACTGAATTTCAACATGTTAGAGTATTTCGTTTCAAACTGACCTGTTACTGATGTTATGGTGGCCCACATTAATGTTGGCGTGTTGTTATTAGCCATTAGCCGCAGCTAGCAATTTAAAGCTAACGTCATGGTATCGATACTTTTGAAAACGAGTATCGTATCCGGATGCAAAGTTTTAGTATCGATACTTTTAACCACCCTACCCCAAATGAGCCAAACCCGATGCCCCGGCCTGACCCTAACCCTATCCATGACCCTAACCCTGACCCTATCCATAACCCTAACCCTGACCCTAACCCTAACCCTAACCCTAACGCTAACCCTAACCCAGGATGGCGATGGAGGACCTGTGCCGGTTCTTCTCAGACCTGGACATCTGCGGCTCCAGTCCGGACTTCCTGGACGAGAACCCGGGCGGCGTCTGGAGGGCGGCCGTGCACGAGGGCCGCTGGGTGGGGGGCACCACCGCCGGGGGCTGCCTGAACAACCGAGGTGGGGGGGGGGGGGGGACTCACATAGGGGCTGAGAGGGGAGGTCACACTAAAGAGAATCTCCAGAAACTAGAACCGATAAACAGAAACTGCCTAAGAAACCGCAGAAAGAGCAAAACGAGCGCTAAAAACTCTTCAAAAACTCTGAAGAAAGTCTTCAGTGTCTGTCCTAGAACTCAGTGACTTTGTGTTTAAATACGCAATTGATTATTCAAAAATAATAAATCATTAATTATTTGTTTATTAATAACAAATAAACAATTGAATACAATGTAAACAATCTGTTTAAATACAGTCATTTTATTCGGTTTGGCACGTTTTATTTCAAATACATAAAAGACAAAAATCTAAATAAATTACTGAGAACACAGAGGAAAAGTGTCAGGAAGGTGGGTCTTGGAGGGAAGAGATGCGGAAAAAGGTTTATTTTAACAAAAACGCGCTCAAAAGAGTGGATGACAGGACAGGGTTCAAAACGATGGAAAAACGAGGTACTATTTAACCACATGAGGGGGGGAACCCCAGGGGAACACAATAGGTAATCAACACATGACAACACACCAGACATTCCCCCAGACGGGACAAAAAGTAGCTTCTTTAAGCCATAAAAAGCATTTTTATCTACACTATAATTAGCATGAATTTCTTTGGTTTTTTGCTGGTTGTTATCATTTTATTTATAAGAAATTCCTTTGTGAGGAAAAGCTTTGAAAGATTTTATCGTCACCAAGGTAATGACACATTTTTTATAGGATCTTTTGTTGAACATTAAACTGAATTACTGATTAAAAAAAACCTTGAACTTTCTCCTATCCTGCTCAGAAACCAAAGCTGCACCTTCAGCAAACATTAGAGAGATTTTCAAACCCTATGTGTCAAAACAACTTCAGGTTGGCTCATATTTGGTCCCGCTGGTCCCCAAATCACCAAATCTGAACCAATCAGAAGCCACGCTGAAGCTTCCTCTGCAGGTGATCGTCCCCCTCTTTGATTTCCAGACAGTTTCTGGACCAATCCGCAGTTTCGGGTCAACGTTTCTGGAGAGTGTTTGGAGACGAACACGCTGGTGTCTCTGATGCAGAAACACGACAAGAGGAACCGACGCCTGGTCCAGAACCTGCACATCGGGTTCTGCGTGTTCCAGGTAGATCCGGTGAAACGGCAGGAAAACAAGCGGAGAAAAGGTCGGATTGTTGCACATTTATGCAGCAAATCTGCACTTTTACTGTCAAAAGTACTGTAAAATCTAAAGTTTATATTAAAAACAATGAAATAATGTCAATTTTCTAAAAATCAATGTTGTTTTTATGCCGTAAAAAGAAAATAAAGCAGATTAAAGCTTCAAATTTAGAAAGTTTTAAACAAAACTGCTTATTGATTTACCATAAAATGTTGTTTCTCAACCAAATGAGTACTAACAAGGACTAAATCTAAAAGATATTAAAGGCTTTATTGGTTAAAATCTCCTAAAGTTTTCCTTGTTTCCCTGTCAGGAAAAGAAGCATCATATCTGCACTTTTATGTTCAAAGTTCCAGATTTTTCTGTGAATTTCTGATAAAAAAAATCACATAAAAATGCAACAAAAACTTCTGTCTGCTTTGTTTTGTTGTTGGAAAAGTTTGTGTTTCTGTTGTTAATTCTTCTGTGTGACCCATTTTTGTTCAGACTTGAATCTAAAAGCAAACACAGAAAACTAAAAAATCTCTTTTTTCTCTCCAACATCGACGACTTGTGACCGATTTCCTTCAAGATCCCCGAACAAGTAAGAAACCGTCTTTTTGTCTTGGACCTGAAAACCCGTTTACATGGAACCACAAAGTCACAGAACGGATTTTAGCGCTAAAAACTCTCAAAAACTCTGAATGAAGTCTTCAGTTTCTGTCCTAGAACTTGGTGATTTTGTGTTTGGACGTGAGAGGGTCTCTTTGGGGTGTTGGGGGTCTTTTGGGTCATTTTTGGGGAATTTGGGATCTATTTGGGGTATCCAGAGTTTTTTTAAGGGTTTGGGGTCTTTGGAGGTCTCAGGGGTCTTTTTAGTCTTTTTGGGGTCATTGGGGTCTGTTTGGGGTCTTTTCAGGGTATTTTGGAGGTCTCGGGTCTTTTTGGAGTATTTTTGGGATGTTTTGAGTCTTTTAGGGGTGTTTGGGGTCTTTTGGAGTCTTTTGGGGTCCTTTGGAGGTCTCAGGGGTCTTTTTGGGGTCTTTGGGATCTGTTAGGGGTCATTTCAGGGTCTTTTTGGAGTCTTTTGGGGGTGTTTTGAGTCCTTTGGGGTCTGTTCCAGGTCTTTTGGGGTCTGTTCCAGGTCTTTTGGGGGGTCTTTGGGGGCATGAGAGCTGAAGGTCTGGTTTCTGACTGCAGTTTAAGGCTCAGACGGGGAAGTTCCCGGCCTCCTTCTTCAACACGCGGTCGCCCGTGGCCCAGACCAAAACCTACATGAACGCCCGGGAGGTGATGGAGCTCCTCTCTCTGAAGCCCGGCGAGTACCTAATTGTGCCATCCACCTTCAAACCCAACGAGACCGCCTCCTTCATCCTGACCATCCACTCCAAGACCGACACCAGCTGCTAGTAGGTCTAACCCTAACCCTAACCCTAACCCTAACCCTAACCCTAACCCTAACCTGACCAGAGCCTGACGGTGTGAACTCCTCCCACAGTGAGAACTCAGCCGATCACAAGAAGGACAGAGTCCAGAAGGTGCCATCCGACTCCTTTAGCCCAGTTTCCAGGGCCCTTCAAGGGTGTGAACGCACAAATTATCCCCCTCCCTGTTTCCTGATATCCTTTTCCAGGCCAAGAAGCGCAGGAACTCCCAGGAGGAGGAAAAGAAACGGACGCTTTTCCGCCGGTACTCCGACAAGGTAACGGCCAAAACCTCCGAGACCTAAATACATAAAAACTCGCTACCGGGAATCCTCCCCTTTTCGGTCCTCTTTGGGTCGCTGTCCTGCAGGTTTTTTTAAGTTTCCCTGCTTCAACACCCCTGATTCACCTTATCAGGCCTGTTCAGAGCCTTTGAGTTGATCCACTTCGTCAGAACCAGGTGTGTTGAAGCAGGAAAACCTCTAAAAAAGAGCAGGATAGCGGTCCTCCAGGACCCGGTTGGACCCGGTTGATTTAGAGCCTCAAGGTGCTGCTTTCCTTTCACTTTAGTCATGTTGTAGCCATTAGGGTTGTCACAATATAAACATTTTCAACTGGATACCGATACTCAGGAAAATATTCGATACTCGATACCATTTTGGATACCACAAGGATAAAAACAAAGACCCAAAAATTTAACTGAATTTTTGACAGGTTAATGTTTTTGGTTTCCAACTGACCTATTAGCCGTTAGCCGCAGCTAGCAATTCAAGGCAAACGTCACGTTAATGATCATAAACAACGTAAATAAATAAATAAATCTGAGGGGGTGGTATCGATACTATTTAAAATGAGTATCGCATACCGATACAACGTTTTAGTATGGATACTTTTTTGAGTATGGATACTTTTGACCAACCTAATAAACACACAGAGTCACACAGAGACACACAGACACACAGACACACAATGAAACACAATAACACACAGACACACAATAACACACAGACACTAGGGTTGTCACGATACTAAAATGTTCAACTCGATAGCGATACTCAGGAACCTGTTACTGATGTTATGGTGGCCCGCATTAATGTTGGCGTGTTATTGTTAGCCGTTAGCCGCAGCTAGCAATTCAATGCTAACGTCACGTTAATGATCATAAACAACGGAAATAAATAAATAAATCAGAGGGGGTGGTATCGATACTTTTGAAAATGAGTGTCGTATCCGGATACAACGTTTAAGTATCGATACTTTTTTGATAGTCGATATTTTTGACAACCCTAATAGACACACAGTCACACAATAACACACAGACACTAGGGTTGAAACGATACTAAAACTTTCAACTCTATAGCGATACTCAGGAACCTGTTACTGATGATGACGTTGGCCCACATTAATGTTGGTGTGTTGTTATTAGCCGTTAGCCGCAGCTAGCAATTCAAGGCTAACGTTAATGATCATAGACAACGTCAATCAATAAATAAATAGGAGGGGGGGGGGGTATCAACACTTTTGAAAATGAGTATCGTATCCGGATACAACGTTTTAGTATCGATACTATTTTGAGTATCGATACTTTTGACAACCCAACTTTTAGCTTTGGAGAAACAGAAGCAGACCAACAGACCTATAACCCCTAAAACATGAGGGGAGGGTCTAAATCTCTAGGATTTCTCTTCTTTACCCGCTTTAACACGAACAAATACCACCTGGTGAGCTGAATCTGTCCCGTTTCCTTCAGTTCGAGGAGGTGGACGCCGAACGGCTGCAGCTGATCCTGAATGAGGACGTCCTGAAAGGTGGGTTAGGGTTTGGGTTAGGGTTAGGGTTAGGGTTAGGGTTGGGGGGGGGCTGAACCCTCTGACTCCGCCTCTCTTCCCCCAGGAGACCTGAAGTCTGGGGGCTTCAGCATCGACGCCTGCCGGAGCATGGTCGCCCTCATGGACGTATCCCGACAAACGCTCTGGGTTTTTATTAGAAAATGTGACCTTTGACCCCCCACGATAAACCTATCGAAACACATACGCATAGACAGTAGGCCAGGCAAGGCAAGTTTGTTTTACAGCATATTTCGTGTACAAGACAATTCAAAGTGTTTAACAGAGAATTTAAAAGCAGAAAAACAAGAAAAGAAAAATAATCAACACAATAAGGACAGCAACAACAACAACAATAACAGACGATCGTCAACAAAAACACGTACGGGATCCCGTCACAATAAACAAATACTTTTTCCTCGGCCCCTGGCAACAAGGATTGTTGACATTTGATCGGCCCCTGGCAACGATCCGATTTCTTTAATCGATCAGTCCCAGACAACGATCTGATTTCCCATCGGCCCCTGGAAACACATACGCATAGACAGTAGGCGCATCCAAGCAGGAGCATGTTGACAACACAAAATAACAACAGCCATAGTATTATTCTACAGTTATTTAGTCATCACTTTAATTTGAACTTAACCTAAAGGTTAACGGGTTTAACGTTGGAGACGCTGCTCAGAGTCAGCCTCCACATTCAGTCGCCATCTGGATTTTTTTTTAAGGTCCGCCACTGCTGATAGGGTGGGGGTGAATGTATTTTGGGGATAGATGGATAGACTTAGACTTAGACTTAGACAGTACTTTATTGATCCCTTGGGAAGACTCCCTCAGGAAATGAAGGTTACCAGCAGCTTAAAGGGCAAAAAGTATCAAGTTAGAATCAAATCAAGCAGAAAAATACAAATAAATAAATAAAAATACAAAAAATCCAGATTAAGTACAGTGTATGTAACATCTCTTCCCCCTGTCCTGGTTCACCTCCCCCCCCCCCAGTGAGGCGTTTACAGTCTGATGGCGTGGGGGACAAAAGAGTTCTTAAGTCTATTGGTCCGGCACTTGGGAAGCAGCAGTCTGTCCCTGAACAGATGGATGTATTTTGGGGGATAGATAGATAGATAGATAGATGTATTTTGGGTGTATTTTGGGGATGGATGGATGTATTTTGGGGGATAGATAGATAGATAGATGTATTTTGGGTGTATTTTGGGGATGGATGGATGTATTTTGCTGATAGATGGATGTATTTTGGGTGTATTTTGGGGATGGATGGATGTATTTTGGGGGATAGATAGATAGATAGATAGATAGATAGATAGATAGATAGATAGATAGATAGATAGATAGATAGATAGATAGATAGATAGATAGATGTATTTTGGGTGTATTTTGGGGATGGATGGATGTATTTTGGGGATGGATGGATGTATTTTGCTGATAGATGGGTGTATTTTGGGGATAGATGGATGTATTTTGGGGATGGATGGATGTATTTTGGGGATGGATGGATGTATTTTGGGGATGGATGGATGTATTTTGGGGATGGATGGATGTATTTTGGGGACAGATGGATGTATTTTGGGGGTTTTGGGGATAAATGGATGTATTTTGGGGGGATTATGGGGATAGATGGATGTATTTAGGGGGACCCGCCCCTCTCCAGACCCTGCTTTAGTATTTTTTTTAGTGTATTTGGGGTTATAGATGCTTTAGTTTCCCGCCTTGACAGCTGCACACAGACGTCCATCACCGGCCGACTGAACGGCGAGGAGTTCCTGCGTCTGTGGAACAAAGTGGTGACGTATAAGGTGGGCGGAGCCTTTTGTAGCCCCCGTTCAGGTGTTTTCTGGGGGGGTCTGAGCCCTGTTTCCTTTCTCAGGACATCTTCTTTAGGACGGACGTCTCCCGGACGGGGACTCTGTCCCTGAGCGAGCTGAGGAACGCCTTCCTGGCCACAGGTAGGAGTCACCTGGGCGGATACACCTGGGCGGGGTCTGGCTGTCCATTGGCTGACTTCATTCATCTGGAAGAGTTCCTCCATCTTACCGGCCGGGTTCGGTCTCTGTCCGGCGTTCCATTTAGGGGTTTTATTCTTTATTTTTCTGTCTTTTTGGCTCTTTTTCTCATTGGTGTTTGTGTCCTGTTTTTAGTTTGTGGGTTTTTTCCTGTTTATCTAATCTTACCGGCCGGGTTCGGTCTCTGTCCTGTTCCATTTAGGGTTTTATTCTTTATTTTTCTGTCTTTTTCCCTCCTTTTCTCATTGGTGTTTGTGTCCTGTTTTTAATTTGTGGGCTTTTCCTGTTTATCTAATCTTACCGGCCCGGTTCGGTCTCTGTTTAGGGGTTTTATTCTGTCTTTTTCCCTCTTTTTCTTATAAGTGTTTGTATCCTGTCTTTAGTTTGTGGGTTTTTTCCTGTTTATCTAATCTTACCGGCCGGGTTCGGTCTCTGTCTGGCGTTCCATTTAGGGGTTTATTCTTTATTTCATTGTCTTTTTCTGTCTTTTTTGCTCTTTTTCTCATTAGTGTTTGTATCCTGTTTTTAGTTTGTGGGTTTTTTCCTGTTTATCTAATCTTACCGGCCGGGTTCAGTCTCTGTCCGGCGTTTCATTTAGGCTTTTATTCTTTATTTTTCTGTCTTTTTGGCTCTTTTTCTCAATAGTGTTTGTATCCTGTTTTTAGTTTGTGGGTTCTGTTCCATTTAGGGCTTTTATTCTTTATTTTTCTGTCTTTTTCCCTCTTTTTCTCATTGGTGTTTGTGTCCTGTTTTTAGTTTGTAGGTTTTTTCCTGTTTATCTAATCTTACCGGCCGGGTTCGGTCTCTGTCCGGCGTTCCGTTTAGGGGTTTTATTCTTTATTTTTCTGTCTTTTTCGCTCTTTTTCTCGTTAGTGTTTGTATCCTGTTTTTAGTTTGTGTTTTTTTTTTTATCTAACCAGTCGTTTTGCTAATATTTTGCTTCACATTTTCTTCATTTTGTGTCCATTCTTGACATTTCATGGGCTTCCGGTCAGTTTGTCCTCGTTTCTGCTCTTTTTCTTCACATTTTTCGTCCATTGTCTAAAGTTTCTGTGTCTTTCTGGCCATTTCTGACCCGTTTCTCGGCCTTTAGGAACGATGGTCAGCGACGACATGCTGAACCTGATGGCCCTGCGTTACGGCGCCTCCTCGGGTCACATGACCCTGGAGAGCTTCATCAGCCTCATCCTCCGGATGGACTGCATGAGCAGTGAGTGGAGTCCGGTTTCCGAACGCCGGTTTCTGACCATTTATTTATTGATTTTAATAGGAGAACAACAAACATACATATATATACACTTACAAATACTTAAACTAGACCAGACAAAAACCAAAAGGACATATACGCAAGGTGGAAAAAAAAAGGGGGACCCTCGTCAGACTAACCTACATAAACATCAGTTTGCCTCACCATATGGCCTTATAACCAATCCTCTTTCCATCCATCAAGCTGGATATCATTTTGACACAGCCAAGTGTAAAAGACAGACCAGACCACCCAAAATTGATCAAGCTTATTCTCAGTAAAATAACGGATTTTCTCAAGTGCAAAGTAGAAGGTCATTTGCGTGGTCCATTGTGAAATTCCACATAATGTCCCTTTTATTTTTATTTATTTTTATTTATTTATTTATTCATTTCATTCAATACAAAGAAAAATGATTCATTTCATTCAATACAAAGAAAAATTCATTTAAAAAAATGAAATGAAAGGTAGCAGAAAGAAGAAAATAATCTTATAATATCTGCCCCTTTTTCTCAACTATGGATCAAAACAACAAAAAATAAAAAATAAAAAATAAAATTGATTAGTCTTATGTGACAAAAAAAGAAAACAAAGGAAGAACAAGAAACAAGGTCAATCATCAATCTCAACTGAACGATACTATACTCTGACTTTATACTATTTCATACTTCTTCAAAAAAACAATCTTTCTTCCAAGAGAGTGCAATGCAGCGTTTGGCTTCCAAAAAGGAGACATTAAGTAAGGATCTCAAGTTGTTTGGGATAACAAAGTGTTCAGGGTTAGGTCAGAGTTCTGATGCATGTCTGGTTGTTTTTGGGCAGAGATCTTCCAGCGGCTGTCTGACGGGAAGGGAATGACCCTGAGGGAGTCGGAGGTAAATCAAACAAGCATCCCGAGTGTCTGAGCCTGGATCTGAACCGGGTCTTTGTCCACAGTGGTTCCTGGTCTCCATGTACACGTAATCCAGCTCGCCCGGGAAAAGCCTCCTGAAAGGACGGGCAGATGTTGCTGAGCGGCCGTCTTTAAGCCTTTAATGCACAGCGATGCTGCGGTGGAGGGGGATTTAGAGGCCTTTTTATTGTGTGTAAACTGTGGTTTTTATGTTTTAAATGTGCGTAAGTGGAGAGTCATGCAATGAAAATTAAAGATTAAAAAAATTAAATTTAAATTAAAAGAATTCAAAATTTTGAAATTTAAAAATTTTTAAATTTAAAAATTTAAAAATTTAAAAATTTAAAAATTTAAAAATTTAGAAATTTAGACATTTAAAAATTCAAAAGTTTAGAAATGTAAGGATTTAAAAATGTAAGAATTTAAAGATTGAAAATGAAAAATTAAAAGATAAAAATAAAGAATGAAAAATGAAATTTAAATTGAAAATTAAAACTAAAATGTGACATTTAAATTAAAAATTAAAAATCCAGAATAATCACCTTTCTTTAGGTCTTTGTGTTGATTATCTGTTTCTTCACTTTTAAATAAAAAAACAATAAAAAGAAAATGAGAAAAAAAATATTTAAATGTTGTATGATCTGTATGAGCAGCTATTACTTATATTGATGGACATCATTTGCCTACAAACTGAGATTCTCCAGAGTTCAACTCCACTGAAGTTGTGCAATAAAAAAAAAAAATGTCCAGGATAATATCCTGTTAAAGTGGAGCGGAGATATAATTAAATAAAAGAAGAGACTGAATGAGAAGGAGTGAGAAAATGGAGGACATAGCAGTGAATATTAGTTATTATTACATATGAATTATTGAGTTTATTGATAATGCTAACAAACATTGTAACATCCAGTATTTCATTAGTAAGAAACATTAAAAAACGTGCTTCCACTGGAGAGCAAAATCCTTTAATAAACACATTTTTTACTCTTTTTTTTTTCACGTCTAAAGAAAATCAAAAACACTTTGGGAAAAAAGTCTTGACTGAAATGTATAATTAATGAATGCATGAAAGGCTTCAACTTATGTGAGAATGATTAAAGAACTTCTGGGAGAAGCTGTGTGCAGACCTTTTCTTTTATGAGTCTTAATGGTTAACTTTAACTGTAAAAGCTCTTTACAGGAAACGGTACAAACATATGACGTTAACTAGCATCATAAATACACCAAACAGCCAAACCAACATTGTGAAAGTGGTTTTTTATGCTCATGTGAAGGTGTTTTGCTTTTATAACGACCCAGGAGAGCTGGGAGTGATAAGAGGAGGCAAAGTTTACCGGTTTAACACAAAAGGAAAAAAGCTCTGAGCTTCAGTTTGATGCAATATTAAAAAAAAGACCTGAGCTTCTACATGAGAAACCGTGAAAAACCTGGAAAAACCATTTTTTTCTCCACAGAAATCCTTTTTCTGCTCTGGGTTTCTGGTATGAAAATGATATAAAAACTCTCATGTTGTTTTTTAAATCAGAGAAAATAAATCCAGAGTTGTAACTTTTGTTTTTGTGGATTTAAAGGCGCAAAAAAAATGAAGCATTACTGCCATCTAGTGGCAGGAGTTGGACTTTCTGCCTGTTCCACTTTGTATTTTAGTCATTTAAAACCTTAAAACTGGACGAGTCCATTCTTTTTTTCACCTCCTAATAAAAAAAGAAAACACTGAAGTTTGTGTGTTTTTGGAGCCAGAAATAACAATTTGGGACTATTTTTATATTGAATCTATCTAAACAGATAGATTTTATTTCCTGAAAAAGAAAATCTAAGTCGTTTAAAAGTATCAGTTTTAGTCAAAGCTAACCTTAAAGGGAGTTTAAGCTCTTTGGCTTCATCAGAGGTCATTTTGAGATGAAAAACCGCTTGTTTTTGTGAGGTCATGAGCCCCAAATCTCTGTTTTTTGGGGGAAACGGTTTTTACCTGAGGCTGGAAGCCGTTCCATCCCAGTTTGGAAACATCAGTGGGGAGGAAAACGATCTGATAAGGAGGAAAAAACACATTCAGGCTATTAAACGGCTCTCAGATCTGAGCCAGACTGGATTTATTTAACTTTATTT